GAACATGCTGAGCATGTTCGGCCGACCCGAAGCCACCCGATGTACGGCTGAATTCAGCTGATATACGGCTGAAATCAGCTGTACCAGCCTGAAGTGAATAGCCGAACAGCGTTCGGCTCACTTCGCTTTAGGTCGGTTATTCACATGCACTGCATGTTCGGCCGACCCAAAGCCACATGAAGCAAGCCGATGTACGGCTGATTTCAGCTGATCTACGGCTGAAATCAGCCGTACAAGCCTGAAGTGAATAGACGAACAGCGTTCGCTCACTTTACTTCGGGTCGGTTATTCACTCGGCTGCCTATGGCAGCTTAGTGAATTGACCCGTATGTATTTTATATAGTGTTACGCATTTCTGCTCTTGGCATATAGTGTAACACACAGTTAATCTTGCTTGATTGCCATGTTGCTCAGCCATTTTGCATGTAATCTTCAGGAATCATGATCCTTAAAAAAATATACTTGAGTAATTCTCTCTACTGTCTTTTTAAAAGGTTTCAGTAAAAGGGCTCTCTATCTTGCACCAGCTTCCCTTCTGCTCAAGTCTGCAAAGAATGTCTGTTATTACCAAAGTTGTAGGAGAACCTAAATTCTTAGTGTTCCTGAAAGGTGCACCAGAAGTGATTGTGAAATTTTGCAAGGAAGATACAGGTACTACAATAATGTTACTGTAAAAAGCTTCTAATGGTACCAATTTAAAAAAAAACTATTGTTTTTTTTTAGTTTTTTGCTGTTTTGGTGTTTTTTGTTTTTGAATTGCTGGCTAATTGTACTCACCATTTTTCTAAAAGGTATGCAGTCGGTGCGATTTGGAATTCCTGTGGCTAGAACTGTAATTTCCTGCAGCACAAATTCCAAATCTTCCATTCACAAGTGGCAGCTGTCACCCATTCAAGTTATTGATTGGGTGACAGTGGCTGCGTTTGAAAGTGACAGAATGCTGACACACTGCATGTAATCATATATAATATGATTGCATGCGGTTAGGAGTCAATCATTATCCCTGGACGTTCGATCGACCCTCTTAAGGGTCATGTTTCTGACCTTTCTATGTAGTTTCAGAGTTCATTAGCCTCTCATTCTTTTGATTAGGACCTTTGTACAGGAAGTCGCTAAAAGCCAACTTTGGGCGTGAGGTCCTTCAGGCAGCTCTTTGAGTTGCAGGGAGTCTCCTGTTCTCTGTGTTTTCTTGGGCCTGCTGGCATTTGTTTGCTGTGATTCCAACCCCTCAGGTGGACTGCTTTTGGGCAGCCCAAAGGTGAAACATACTGGAGGGAATTTATCAAAACTGGAGCAGACTATAACTGGAGCAGTTGCCTATGGCAACCAATCAGCTTCTCTCTTCAGTCTGTTCAGTTAAGTTTTGAAAATGAAAGGTGGATGTTGAATGGTTGCCATGCACAACTACTCCAGATTGTGTCTGCTCCAGTTTTGATAAATTCCCCTCACTGTGTCCCTCAGTGGAATAGAAAGAAGCAAGGATTTTTGTACTCACCATAAAATCCTTTGTACCAAAGGCTTAACTTTATTTTCCAGTAGAAAATGGGGAGATGATGCAATGTTCTTCCTACTTTTACCTTTATTTAACCACTTTCCATCCGGCCGTTGTAACTAAACAGCTGTACGGAGGCTTCTTGAATGCGGCTGGGCGTTTTAAAACGTCATTTCCCCACTGTCACTCATGCGCGCTGCACGTGTGGGCAACAGACTATAATTTAAACAGCCGGTTATGCCTGTTTACATAGAAGTGTTTAGGTGGCTATAAAGCCCTCCTCCTCCGCCGCCTATCCCATGCTCCGCTGTGCGGCTCTGTGAACGGAAATCGGAAGAAAGATCAGCACTTGTTCAGCTGCTAATCTCCCCTCCAGTCTCTGAATGTGAAAGTGATGTTTATTACATCACGTCCGCCTTCAGCTGGCATTTCTCTGGCTGCTGTAGCTGGAGAGAAGCTGTTGAAGCAGATATCTGCTCTATCAGCTTGTTTGGGTCCCTAGGTATTAAGGATACACGATAATCTTCTGCAGTTGACTAAGGCCGAGTAAGGCAGAAACGAATCAGCAGTTGTGCTTTGTACAGATGCATGTGGAATAAAGTTTGAACTTCTTTGTAAGATTATCGTGTGCTGGTTCCACAGTTTTTGAGCCTATTACTCAAGAAGAGAGTCATCCCTGTGTGGATTGCGGGGACGCATGATAGGGGTGAGCTGTGCACTTTGTGTTTTCAGTCTCCTATGTGTTAAGGGTCTTATAGACCTCTTATGTATCCATAAAGAGGATCTGTCACTGTAAATTTGCTATCAAATAGAGGGCTTCTTAGCCTGTTATGTGATAGCAACACAGTTAAGTGTAATGTAAAAAAAAAAAGTAAAAAAAAAAATAAAAGTCACATAAAAAAACCCACACACACAAACACAAACATGCATTGGGTGCTCCTACGTGTGACAACATGACAATTGCGCCCATTGCACTGCATATGTTACATATCACCACAAATGTCAGAGCATGAGCAATAATTCTAGGGAGTTCAATCACTTATAGCACTAAATTGATGAGCGGTAAAAGCTTTTAAAACATTGTCTATGGCCAATTTTGGGTATGGTATTTTTTTGCGATTTTGCAGGCACACACAATTTTAAAGCTTGACATGTTTGGTGTCTATTTACCCAACGTGAACCTATCTTTTATATTTTACCAAAAAATGTGGGTAATAATAAATGTTTCATAACATAACGTCGGGAAAACAACTTTTTTTAAATTTTCTGTACTTTGTTCTCTATATAGTAAAAAATAAAAAAAACTCCAGTGATGATTAAATACCACCAAAATAAAGCTCTATCTGTCCCAAAAAATAATCTAAAATTAATTTCAGTACAACATTGCATGACTGACTAAATGTCAGTTGAAGTACCTCAGCACTGAGTACTGAAAAATGGCCTGGACAGAAAGGGGGTTTAACACGTTAAATATAATAGTGTTAAATATATAGTGTATAGTTTTGTTTTTTATATAGTGTAACTTTGCGCTGCTGTTTTAACTGTAAATGTTTTTATGTTTTTTTTTTCAAACAGTGCCAATCAATTTCTTATTTTTACTTAACCAGTACACAGTACAAGGTTTCCGTGTCATTGGAATGGCATATAAAAATTTAGAAATGAATGAAGATGTTAAAGTAGAGATGTTAAAAAAGTAAGTACTTTTATGTTAATATATTACACCTTGTTCCTCCAGGCTGCGGTCATCCCTGCTGCTTGTGCACCTTTTTCTTCCACACTTTTCCCTTCCACATAACGTTCTATTAATGTGCTTTGATACAGCACTTTGGGAACATCCAACTTCTTTTGCAATTACCTTTTGAGGTTTTCCCTCCTTATGGAGGGTGTCAATTATGGTTTTCTGCACAACTGTCAGGTCAGCAGTCTTTCCTATGATTGTGATTCCTACTGAACCAGACTGAGAGACCATTTAAAGTCTCAGGAACCCTTTGCAGGTGTTATGGCTTAATTAGCTGATTAGAGTGGGACACTTTGAGCCTAGAATATTGCAACTTTTCACAATATTCTAATTTTCTGTGATTGTGGATTTGGGGTTTTCATGAGCTGTAAGCCATAATCATCACAATTATGACAAATCACGGCTTGAATTATCTTGCTTTGCATGTAATGAGTCTTTCTCATATATTAGTTTCACCTTTTAAGTTGCATTAGTGAAATAAATGAACTTTTGCATTCATCTACAGCTCAAAAGATAGTATTACATTTCTGAATGTCAGTAATACAAATCAGCTGTTGTATACCCAACACCTCTTCTCAACAGCATATGCGTTGCTATATGACATTCAGCTTCTCTCGAAGGAAACTGTGATGATCCTTTGGCAATGGCATGGCGAGTGCATCCGCAGTCATTTTTTCTTTTGCTGCCTTTCTCTATTTATTGGCTTCGTGTTTTGGTAATTTTTCTATGTCTTCCCATGATGTTGATTCGAGTATGCTTTTTGTCTCAGCAGTAAATGACAGCTTGCAGGGTGGTATTTTCTGTGTTGCCTGAGTGGATCTTCTAATATAAGGTTGTTCAGCAGAATTTAACATGGAATTTGAATTATCCATTGTGAGTTCCACCTCTTGTTCTGACTCCTGTGTAGGTTCACTATGCTCAGCTTCCTTTGCTGGTTCACTGGGCAAATTCACTTCACAACTCCCTGGAATCATTGATTGTGGTGATGGGTTCTGATCGAAGGAAATGCTGCGACTTATTGTCACTTTGTCAGTCTTTGGGTGGAGGATCCTATATCCCTTACTTTGTTCACTATAGCCCATCAGAATACCTTCTGGGCTGTCTTCTCCAATTTAGATCTCTTTTCATTTGGAATATAGGTGATCCATGCCAAAACGGCTGGGGTGCCTTCAACAGTTTTTGAAGGTAGTCTGTTCTGTAGGTATGTTGCTGTCATGACTGCTTCTCTCTAGTACTTTTTGGGTAGGTTGGCGTCCGACAACGTGCATCTGGCCATTTCCATAAGAGTGCGATTTTCCCGTTCTGCTACACCATTTTGCTCAGAAGTGTATGGTATGGTTGTCTGGTGTACTATACCTTGTTTCTTCAGATGTGATTCCTCTTCCTTACTGATGTATTCCCCTCTGTTTTCGGTGCATATAATTCCTGGTTTCCATTGGAATTTGTTACTCGACATGGCTACAAACTCATTAAGTTTTTCTGATGTTTCATTCTTGTGCTATGAAAGCCAGTAGATATCTGTTCCTGCCTGATGTCGGAGTTTTAATTGGTCCACACACATCGCTGTGTATGAGCTCCATGGGGTGTGCGTCTGGTCTTCTTTTTTGAGTGGTCTGTGGAAGTGGGGTACGTGTGGGCTTCCATTCAGCATTTGCATGTTATGAGCATTTGGCAGGGCAGTACAGTTATATCTCCTGATAAGCCTCTCTTTTATAATGTCTTTTATGGCTTCTGGGCTTCGGTGCCCTAGTCGTCTGTGCCATAGGTGAATACATTTTTTTGTGTGGATTATGAGTGGCTGTTTTGACTTGTTCATCTGTGGTGATGAGTCTGTATAGGTGTTTATCTAGTTTTCCTTTTGTGAGGATTTACTTATTGTTTCAGATTGTACATTCAATACCTCTGAATTGAACTGTGAGAACATTATTAGCAAGATTTTTCACTGATAGAAGGTTTCCTTCTAGGTCTGGAGGTCATACAGTACATTTTTCACGAGGACACTTGTCCCCTGACGGTGTGATGCAGTTCAAGAATCCTTAACCATTACCTTCTGTGGTAATACTTTTCCCGATTGTTAGAAAGACTTTGTCCTTTGCAGTGAAATTGATTTCTGTGAAGAAGGTCTCATCACTGATCATGTGACTTATTGCGCCAATACACCATCCGTGTGGTATACTGTTCTGAGTCACTTTAAAGGTAGCACTTCATGCTGTGCCTGTAGTTTCCTTTGTGGCTGCCTTAGCCCTTTCTCTTGTAGGTGCCTCTCGCTTTCTCTGCTCGGTATTCCAGATTGAACAGCCTTTTTTTAGGTGACCAGTCTTTTTACAGTGAAAACACGCTCTGCTTTCTTTGTTTTGCTTTACGCTCTCATGAACCTTAATGGCTCGTTTTCTTCATTGTGCCCATTTTCTTTCCTTCTGTTATATTCATCGATTCATTTTGTGTACTCTATTGTTAGTTCCTGGTCAGGTATGGTTTCTAGAGCTTTAATAAGAGCACTGTGTCACTGTATCTGGAAGGCTCCATAGCAGTAATGCCAACACATGGTTATATTTCATTTCCTCTCCAATTGCATGTAGTTGTTCTACAATTTCCAGCATGGCATTCACATGTTCATACATTTCCTGGCCTTTTTTTAGCCTCATCTTATATAGCTCGCATAGCAGATACAATTTACTGTTTAGGTCTGAACGCTCATGCAGTTTCTGTAATGCAGTCCACATACCTCTACCTGTATTTTCTTTTCTTATGTGGATGAGCTAGTCGTTTTCCACTAGCTGATTTATAATTGCTTTTGCTTGCCTATTCTTCTTATCACATTCTTCCGCGGGTCCATTACTGGGTCTGTCTGCACTCAGTACTTGCCACATGTCTTTGCTTAGCAGCATTTTAAGCTTGCACTTCCATAGCTGGTAGTTACTATTGTTGAGCTTTGCGTTTGCAAACTTGATATCTGAACTACTTGCCATCTTTCAGTAGCTTGGATGCAGCTCTTGTTGACTTGCAGTGTTCTGTTTATTGCCTGGGCCACAAATGTGCTTACCCTCTTATTATTAGCAATTAACAATACTAGCTTGCATGCATTTTCTGCCAGACTGCTATGTCTAGGTTAAAGTAGTGTATGAGGACATGCTTTGTTTTTGAAAGCAAATCTTTTACATACAGTATTTTAATGGTGGACTGGATTGAAAGAACAGATCAAACAAATTGTCTACGGAACAAATTTTAAGACAGCCACTAGTTTGTTTGTCCTTGTATCTGCTGCACACCTAAATTGCAAGCACTACACCATTGTCTACCTTAATAGAGATACTCAGGCTGCCATATTGTTTATTGTCAACCCATCAAATAAAAAACTTTGTAGCATCCAGGAGACTTCATAAATCCTTGCAGTCTTCATACACAATTGATTCTTAGATAATTTATCATTTATCCACTAAGAAACAAATGCATGGCTAATATAACTGTAATGTTTTATTCCACAATAATGCATACAGTGTGGTATGGGGTGTATATTAATGTTAGATGGTGGCCCTATTATTCTATGTGGGAACACACATTTTCAGAAAACAACTTCGGAAATGTGTTTGTTGTCGATTTTGTTATCTATTTGTTATCTATTGTCAGTTCTAAGCTAATGTACAGAAAAATATTTTCAGGGAAGAGGTGGAACATGATCTCTGTTTTCTTGGATTCTTGATAATGGAGAATAGGCCTAAGCCAGAAACCAAACCAGTTCTCCAGGAACTAAAATCTGCTAACATAAGAACAATCATGGTGACAGGTAGGACTATGTGTTTCACACTCCCTTTGTAGTTTTGTCTGCATAGCATGGTTTGTTATCTATTTGTCACAAATTCTCAAAATTGTTTGCTAGACAAGGTAGGTAGTGGGAAATTTTTCAGACTGTATAATCAAGGACTAACATTACTTGCCTACAACTGATATGAACAGCATCTTGCTGCTGGAAAAGGTAACAATGATAGATATTAAAGCAAACCTGTACTGTGCCCATGCAGGGCAATGCATTCAGTTCACTTTAATGGTGACCCCCACATGCAGAACCTATTCACCTTCACTCTGCCCTATTACCACTCTATTTAGCAACTGGGAGTGAAGCAAAACTACTTCTAATTCTAGATATTGGACTCACTCCCCTTTCTCTTATACCACAGTGCTGGTACTTGGTCATTGGCTGCTTATGCACCTAGGGCCTGCCGGCGCAGGGTTAAGTCACAACCTGAAGCTAATAAAGGGCTTCCTCTGTTTGCTTTCAGTGGCCAAACAGAGTAGTAATGGAGCAAAGGAAACTTGTGCATTAATGCAGACTAGGCATGTTAAACTCCATCCCACTTAATCTTAATGTTTAACACCTCAATAATTAACCTTCTCCCTTATTATTTTATCTGTTTTTCAAAGTAATTCTATATATCTCTATTAAGTCCTTTTTCTTCCTTTTAACATCTATAGCATTTTCCATTCAGAGCACAATGCAATTACAGGGAAATATTACTGTGAGTTTTTTTGCAACATTTATTTTCAGTAATTATTATTATTATTACCATTATCATAAACATCCTGTCTCTATGTTAAAAGGTGATAACCTTCAGACAGCATGTACAGTGGGACTGAGCTCTGGCATGGTACCTGATGCTTCCACTTTACGCTTGTTAGATGCTTGTGAGCCTGAACGTGGTTCTTCAGCATCATTCACTTGTCAGTCATTTGAAAGGAGCAGAGATGAATTACACAAAGAGAACGCAAGTGACAATAAGGTAACTGTTTTAAATTAACAAAAAAAAAATTAGCATCACTGGCATTCCCATGTGTACTCAAGTCACTGCCTGCTGCTGTGCTGTCTGAGCATGTGCCACCTTCACTCATGAACAGATTGCAACACCTGCTACGTTAACAGTACTGTTCAGGCTGTTAGGTAAGTGAAAAAGGCAGAGGGAAGAATGGTTAATAAATACTGTAGATTTTAAAAAAACTTTGTTAATAAAGTTAAACGAGAACTAAAGCTAAACCCTTTTTTGTCTTTACTTCCCTCTTGGGCCACAGGAGAACATTCACTAATGTACTCATGTAACCTTAAGTCAGCATCTATTGGGCTACTGCCCACTATTTGCTGACAGGGTGGAGCTGCACTCCAGTCGAGAAAGATCCCAACAGTATTGTTGGGATCCATCCAGCTGTCTCATTGACAGCTGGCTCTGCCTCTCTACAGCCAGCTGGGCCCGCCCCCTCCCCTGCCTGTCCCTCCAGTGAGCATTGGAGGAATGTAGAGGGGAGGGGTAAATCCCTGTAGGCAGCGATAACTGACAGTCAGCAATCTCTGCAGGGAGAAGACCATGAGTCAAGCGATCGGTGGTTACATGATTGCTCAGCTCGATCTAAAGAGCCCGCATGTGACAGCTATACAGTGTCACATGCCCGCTCTAAGTATTAGGAAGAGTACATTTTACTCTCCCAATACTTCTCCAACTCCAGTGTGAATAGTTATGCCAGGTTTCAGACAGATCAAGTACATTCATTCTTTCCCCTAAGGTTCTTTGAATAGAACTGGAAACGTTTTCGATTAGAAGATCCATAAGGCTGGTTATAAGAAAACCTGGTATAGAGGCATGCATCCACTCAAAACTAATATTTAACTTTTGTGTTGTTGTTAGTAGCTTAATACATGGTGTGCCAAAAGTCTGGATCCATAGGTCTTGATTTATTAGAAATTTCCTTCCCTAAAAAGTGCAGCTGGTGTAGCAACTGTATGGTGATGACACAGACAAGCTTAGGGAATATTTGAGTGGTTTTTCAACAACAGGAATTAATGGTGTTTTACAGTGATGAAGCCTAATTTCATCTCAATGGTAGTGTCAACTGACAGAATGCGTGTTACTGGTCTGAAAACAACCCACACTGGCTTACTGAAGGCCATTTTCAAACTGATCCAGGAATTATAGTGTAGGTGGGGATATTTTGGGGTCTATTCACAAAGCTGCCTCCCCCTCGGTTCTCCTGAACCGAAGTGGTCCTGGTGCAGAAGCTAGCCGAAGGATCGGCCGAAGCTACGGCCAGATCCTTCGGCAGCTTTGTGAATAGACCCCTTAGTGATAATCGTATTGGGCCATGTTTTTTTATAGTAATGTAACAGGAGAAATGTACCACTGTACCTTATGTTACAATATTTTCTTGCCTCTCAATTAGATAATAGACATGTGCGATTCGTTTCGTTATGAATTGAAATTTGTACGTATTTTCCTGAGATTCGTAAATTCGGAAGCATCCAAAATCCGAATTGCAGTTTCCGAATTATATCTGAAATACGAAATTCCGTTAACGAATTTCGGATCCGAATTTCTTTGAAACAGGAACTAATATTACCCCTGTAAATGAGGTTAAACAACATGACAAGATTTTTTTTTAAATCCGAAATACGGATCCGCTACTGCTGAGGGTTGCATTACAATACACAGGCAGGAAATACGAAATTCTGTTGACTGAATTTCGTTCCGTTACGAATATTCGTTATATTGAAGTTAAAAAGCAAAGTACTTTTATATTGGAGTTGATGGTAGTTTTTTTTTTATACGAAATACGAAATTCTGATACGGAATCCGTTAACGGAATTCGTATTTCGGATAAAAAAACAACTACCACATCGACTCCAATATTAACAAAGTTATTTTTGCTTTTTAACTTCATCATAACGAATGTTCGTAAAGTTACAAAAATGTGCCGAAACTAACGGAAATTCGTATTTCGTACGAATCCGAATTGAGTTTCGGATACGAATTACGAAATACGAAATAACGGATATTCCGAAACGGAACACATTTTTTGACGGCGCACAAGTTTATTAGATAACAATCCTTTGTTGGAACAACATGAAAGGTGCCCTATCACACTTTGCTATTGCAATGGGAAATGTTTTAAATCAAACTCCTACTAATAGATTGATTGGAAGGTGAGGTCCAGTTGAATGGCACCCTCAGTCAGATCTAACACCACTCAACTTTTTTTGGGAGGCCATCTGAAGCCAGTAGTCTATCAGAATGTCCAGAACATCCTTTCCACTAAAGAAGAAAAGGATTTCTGCATGTAACATCAGTTCTGCTACATTAAGACATTTTCAATATTCTTGTATTCAGGGTACTCACAATTGTGAAGTTCAAGGCTGTCTATTCAGCATTTACTGAAATAAAACTTTTTAAATAAAATTTTTCCTATGGATCTGGACTTTTGGGATACTCTGTATTATAGCTTCCTAATTTATTTGGAACTGCAGTGAAAGGATATTATCACCAGATTTCTCACATTGTAGCACCTGACATGGCAATTACAATTAGAAAGTCAAACAATGGTGTCACACTACACATTTGGTTGTAGATATTGTACAATAAATAAAGATTTGTGGATAATTGTGGATCCTTTAGGAGAAATATATCTTATCTATGACCTTGCAGGGCAGGGAAGCAAAGATGAGCTACTTCAGGGAATTATTACAAAAGGGTGGTAACTTAAAATAAATCCATTATGTAAGCCTTGCTAAAAGGTAGCCCTGCGTATCAAAAAATGTGTCAAGCCATAAGACTCTTCCCATCTTATTCAAGGAAAAATAGTTATTCTTAAGTAGTAATTGTGCTCCAACTATAAATGCAAAACACGTGGTTTATTAGTGGAACGCAAGGACTTGAGTTAGGAAACTTCTTTATAAACATAATGATCTATGAAATTGTGATTCTTATTTAGATGGAGGAACTCCAAAATTTTCATAAGTTAACCCATGCAGTGGAGCTACTCCTGCACTGAAAGGGTTAACAGCTTGCTTTGGTCTAGGGTTACAAAAAAAGAAAATATTCTTACCCGATCCTCGATCCTGCCTGGCTGCTAGACCGTTCCCCAAAGACTCTTCTACCCTGGGCTCTGGTGGTCTAAGGACCGATAAAGTCATTACATCTAACAGGTCTATTAGAAGTGATGATCGCAAGGGACATAACACAGCTGGACTGGAAGGGGAAAGACGTCAGCACTGACTGCAACAGGACCCAGGATCGGGTGAGTATACATTCTTTATTCCATTCCCTTGACCAAAACAAACCGTTAACCCTGCCGTGCAGGGCAGCTACCTGCAAATGTTAACTTATGAAAATCCTGGAGTTCTTTAAAATGTTCTGAGAAACAACACTGATAGCTGTATAAGGAACATTTTTCTCTTTTTAGAACTCAGTAAAGCACCTTGTAGCCACTACCACTGAGAACATTTGCAATTTTAATGGAAGTGCCTGGAAATACCATTATGCTATGAGTGGAAAAACATATGATATTATGAAGCAACACTTCCCTAGTTTGATACCAGATGTAAGTATTTAAGAATAAACAAATCTTATGGGCCAGTGAGTGTGATATTTGGAAGTAATCCATCCATGGTAGGAGTTTCTTTGTCATATTGTCCTAATACACATGCAGATAAACATGTATGTGCTATGGCTTGCCGTGAACCCCAAAATTGTTCTTTTTGCTCTTTTGATACAGAAAACAATAGAGCATTGGTAGAAAATGTGACACTCTAAAAGACAGTAGTCGTTTGTACAAGAAAGTGCCTTGACGATGTTTGTCATAACCTATAAACAGCCTGCCTGTCCACTAATCCTACAAACGTCTTACAGGGTTATTCACAAAAGGGTGAAGAGTTTGGAGAAGGCAGAAGTAAACAATCTAGGACAACATAGCTGATTTGGGAGAATCCTCCAATTCAGCTCACTTTCCAGTTCATCTATCTTGTCCTAGATTGTTCACTATTCCTGCCTTCTCCAAACTCTTCACCCTTTTGTGAATAGACCTGCTAGTTATCACATGATGGGTACCATATGTTTATGAGAACCTTTTAAAGATGTTTCTTTAGTACACTGCTGTCTAAATTAAATAATGGCCCATTACTCTTTTATGTACTCAGTACTTAAAAAGGATGCTTAACACATATTCCTGGTGTTCACCAAACACTCTGTGATGCCCATGATGGAGTGAATGTGTGGAGCTAAATAGGCCAATACACATTACCATTTTTCAAGCCACATGCTTTGCATCATGTTTCATTGTGTCCAAGGGAACATGGAAAGCAGTATCTGGCTCCGATAACCTATGCATTCTGCTTTGTTTGATTTTCTTTTGTATTCAGTGAATATGTTTCTGTGGTTTGTTAAATATAAGTTTTATCAAGGTTACTCATATATAGCAATTTCATTTTGAAGTGGAGTCATCAATGGACATAGTGTATATTCAGGTCTATGCTAATTAATAAGCTGGTAGGAGGTAATGAACATTTAAGAACTGGTGCTCTGCACTACTTCTAGTAGTCAGTGGTGTACCCTCTCAAATTGGTGGTCAATGTAGTGCCCCCCTAAATTGGTGACCAGTGTAGACGTGCACCCTTGTGTTAATGGTCAGTATAGTGCCCCTTACATTGGTGGTTGCTGTAGTATCTCCTTATGTTTAAGATCAGGAAAGTACCCCCTTACATTGGTGGTCAGGGAAGAAGTTCCCCCTTACATTGGTGGTCAGTGTGGTGCCCCTTTGTTGGTAATAGGTAAAGTGCCCCCTTACACTGGTGGTTGGGGTAAAGTAACCCTTGCATTGGTAGACAATTTAGTAACTCTTTACATAGGTGGTCAGGGGAGATGTGGTTCCTTACACTGGAGGTCCCAGCAGCAACATTTTCCAAAACTGATTTAACTTTTGCAAATCTTTTGGTACGTTTTTTGCTTTCATTTTGCGGAAATTTCACCAAAGAAAAAGCCTCAGTTAAGATAGGTACAGGCATTTTCACATGGAACATTTCAAGCAAAATTCTTTAAAGTCCATGTGAGGTGAAATTTTTAATTTGTTATTCCTAGATCAGTGTTGAGTTCCCATATGTTGGTTGTTAGTGAAATTCTCTATTACAATGTTGATCAGGGAAGACCTGCCCCCTTACAGTGATATCGGGTAGAAAATTGTCACCTTACCAGTGGTCAGTGTAGTGTACCTCCACAGCACAACAGCACTACAGCACTACAGGATTACTTACAAACATCTCCATCTTGCTTATTGTGAAGGAATATCTGCACACTGACAGTCATCCTTCTGTTGACTCTTTCTTCTCCTGCCAACATGCTTTCAGGATATGCAATTTTTTTTCAGAACCTAATGGGCTCTTAATCCTTGCTGTTCCTCCCCCAGTCTGAATGCTGCTATACAGGGAGGCTGGTATCACAACAATTTCAAGTACTTGCTCTAGTTCCTTGGTTCTCAACTGGGGACCCTAAAGTGGGTCGTGACCCTAAAGTGGGTCGTGACCCGCATGTTCTGTGGGTCGCTGCATGCCTTCCACTTTTCTAGTTTCTAATTTCCAGTTCTCATAAGGTAGGGAGACTGGGTGGATCTTTATAAAAAATTTAAACATTTTTGGAGTGTGTGTATATGTGTGTGTGAGATTGTGGTTGTGTCTGTCAGCGTTTTTAAGTGCACGTTCACACTACGACAGTGCGTTAATCGAATAGTCATGTGCCATTAACGCGCCACACAATCGCACCTACTACGTGTTCTGGTGCGGGAGGTGCATTGCGTTGCCATTCATCCCCATCCCCCACCCACAGTTCAATTGCCCGCACTGGAATGCACGGTACCGCATTGCTGTGCATTCCATTGCAGTGCGACTTGTGTCACGACTTAATGAACTTGGAGAAATATGGGTCCTGAGGTTACACAGGTTGAGGACCATTACTCTAGTTTATTTTAAATGTAAGGTCAAGTCGATTTCTTTTTTCACCTTTAGCAATAGTTATTACTAATTAATGTGCTTTTAGCTGGCTGATGGCTGATAGAATGGCTAATAAGAAAAAGGCTGAAGCCTCTATTAAACACATCATTCATGTTTTTTCTAGTGCAGTATGAATGCTAAATATGGCCGGGGATGTATTACATATATATTTATTGGAATATTATCTTTATTTTAGATGTTATATCTGCTAGCAGTATGTAATAAAGTGTGCCTACACAATGCCCCCCTGACCACATGTACAACAGCAATTCTGGTTAATTTCTAGCTGTTTGTTAACAATAAAATTGAATCAAAATGTATTTGTACTATTTTCTAGATTCTACTTAACTCTACCATTTTTGCTAGAATGACTCCTAAGCAAAAAACAAGAATTATTGAAGATCTACAAAGAATTAAGTAAGTAATTTTTTTCCTATTAATAAAACCTACACCTCTATTGTATTATGTAGAAGATTTGTATTCTTACAGAAAGGTTTGAGGGGTATTATAATTAACTTTATTCTGCTTGTTACTAGCCCAACATCCCAGTGTCTATTTTTTCATCACCTTTTTCATATGGATTAGAAAAATGTCCAGTTAGACTATATGTTATGTATCCACAGTAAATAAAACAATTACAATCACTCCATTGATGGTACATTTTGATCTTTTGTTTCTCTCACATCTACATTTTATTCACATTTAGGAATTGGCATGAGAACACACAAAGCTCTTTTGGTGTACAGCCAGACAATATTCACTAGAGGCAATATAGACAACCAATAGATAGCGAGGCAACTGTTTTGTTTTTTTTTGCTTTGGATAGAGTGGAGAGGGGTTAGACCCCCTGTCAAATTTTTATTGCTGCCTGCATCTGTGTAAGGAAGATTAGAGGGTCAATTTACTAAAGGCAAATAGGCTTTCACTTTGCAAGGGAATTTTCTCTTAGCTTAGTGCATGAGGGGAAACTCTCTTGACTTTCATCATCCAATCGTATGCAAGCAAAAATACTCTTTACCAAATTCACTAAGCTAAGGGGAAGTTCTCTTGCCAAGTGCATTTCCCTAGGAAATTAACCCCTCAATATATTGCCCCAATAATCAATGTCACTAGGAATTAAAGTGATGGGTAAATTCAACATTTTGAATTGCCACCAAAACAGTGATAGAAAGGAAATCTTCCAATGGGGACACTTGTCCCTGTGACAACTGTATAAAAGGGGATTTCCCCCACATTGGAAATATATCCCCTTACTTCCTGTTAATCCTGCAGGGCAGGAAGTAAAGGGACATCTTTTTATAAGACACAGAAGTCATTCATACATTTTCCATGGCAGTGTCACTAGAAGTATTGAAACCAGAGGATTAACCTGCCTGCAAGGAAAGTGCAGTTTTCAAAATGAGGTAAAAATGAGAGCCCTGTCAATGTATTCCAGCTCAGCAAGGGATTTAGTTTGTTAATTTCTATGACCAGGCAGAACTAGACATGTGCGATTCGTTTCGTTCCGAATCGAAATTCGGACTAAATGTTTTGGAAATTCTGAGATTCGGATGTATCCAAATTCCGAATTACAGATGTAACGAATGCAAACAAATCCGAATTTCCGATTCCGAAATTCGATAGCGGTAGTCTGTACGCAATTTCATTTGTTGGATGAAATTTCGTTGCAGAAAGGTGACATTTGAAAAAAAACAAAACTTTTTTCCCCTCTTAAATGTTACTTTGCTTCAACGAACGAACGAAACAAAAACTAAACGAAATAGAAACGAAATTTCGTGCAGACTATTGCTAACGAATTTCGTACGAATCCGAATTACGAAACAAATTGACTTTCGGACCCAAATCCCGAAAAACGAAATAAAGCAAAATTCTAAACAAAACTAAACAATTTTTTTGCTGGTGCACATGTCTAGGCAGAACCTTTATTATAAAGGAGGAGATTGGGCCACTTGAGATGTCTTATCATTTTCAGTATGCAGGCAGATTTAACTCAGATTTGACCATCTTTGTTAATAGTCAAGCCTGACTGATATAGGCAGGCCAGAGGGTGCTGGCTGCCCATATTGTTCAGGAATACAGTTATGAGAGTAAGCATGTGTGTGATCTTGGATCAATCAAAAACAAAAAGATAACTTGTCGCACTCCCCCAGAATTAAATGAGGGGGGGGTGCTCGTAGTGACCTGCGGATGGCGCCGCCACACAGTATCAAGATGAATAGATGTCACCAGCACACCAACAGTATTGCAGTCCAAAGTGTTTGTTTATTGGAACGTCATGTCACCAAAACTAGTGCTTTCCGGGCCACGCAGGGTCCCCTTCATCAGGCTTGGCAATGACTGATGAAGGGGACCCTGCGTGGCCCCGAAAGCACTAGTTTTGGTGACATGACGTTCCAATAAACAAACACTTTGGACTGCAATACTGTTGGTGTGCTGGTGACATCTATTCATCTTGATACTTTGATCAATCAAGTCTCCTACTCCATATGTTTGCTATCCAAGTATATATCACTCATCCTTGAAAACTAGCCAGTGTTGTCTCATTTAAAGTAGGTATTGATAGGGAAGGTTGAAAGTGTTTTTTTTCTGGGCAGTTTTTCAATGAGCTTCTGACATTTTACCTTATAATGCATGGGTCGAATGCAAAGTAATCTACTTCAACCGTGTAAAAAAAAATGCCCCACAGGGATTAATTCTGTACCTTGTTGCCAGTTTCAAACCCATACATTGTATGAGCTTAGTTAGTATATATGTTCTGATGTATTCATTAAAAGTCTGGTAGAAACATATTATGTGAATAGTTGATTTTTACTTTACTTACCTACTCATTTATTTTATTGTAGTTATTACGTTGGTATGTGTGGAGATGGTGCAAATGATTGTGGGGTAAGTGATTTTTTATTTTGAAATTTGTATCGCTGGGATTAGCTTGTAAGTTTTAAATTTGAGTCAGTCATAGTACTCGTAAATCTCAAATCTCCAGTCTGATCTAGATAAGGATCTGGCTTTAATATCCAGTCATGCAGCCTTGGTGGCCAAGAAAGGGAGGACAGCACCCCTGTATCAGACCAGACCACATGCCTTTCAACATTGGGGCACCAATAAGAACTTATAACAAAATCTGGAAGCCCCTTTTATAAAGGGGGGTTGTGTCCAAACAGGGGTACATTACTACCTCTTACCCATTCCCTCAAAGAATTAAAAGTAAATAAACACACTCATCATGCACAAATCCTTTAATAACAGTACAATACAAAATACACTAAAACAAATAATGTCCCCGATGTAAATCCATACACCTTGGCGAGTAACTCTTAAGGCCTGGCTAGTAGCTCAGGACTTGAAATTTTGACCCCTGACCTAGTACATCAATGTGAGTACATCATAAATCATGACACCCAGTGATGTAAATGCTCATCCACCGCGACAACCCATAGCTAAATGACAGATCCCCAACACTACTATAATATTAACACAGTGCCGAGAATCCCGGGTGATGTCATTGATCAATTATGGTCAATGACCAAATTTAGTTAATGACATTGCCCAGGATCCCTAGCTGCCTGTTTACATTATAGGAACTGGGGGTTTGAGCAGGTGAATGGCTGCAATAGTTTGGCAGGTTTGCAAATGGTGAAAGGGATGTGTTTGCCTCGGCCCCAAGTTCAACCAATAACCCGTATCTCGTCTCTAATAATCTAGTTTAAATGAGGCAATCACAAACATTTTAAAAATATTGCTTGCTTCTGTGTTCCTAAAATGTTATCTAATTAAATAATTATGTTTTTTTTCCCCAGGCTTTAAAGATAGCTCATGCTGGAATCTCTTTATCAAATCTGGAGGCATCAGTGGCCTCTCCTTTTACATCAAAAATCCCAAATATTGAATGTGTGCCAAAGCTGCTAAAGTAAGCTGCTTAAATAACACAAACATGTTCTTTACATTTCTTCCTGAAACAGATTGTAATGTTGACATTTTCTTAATTTCTAAGTTGTGATTATATCATTGATGTTTTTAACAACTAGCATGAAATAGATTTAAAGTGGACCTTTACCCGTTTTGACTAAAAAGCACATTATCATACAGCTCTGCATGCTGATCTCATCTTACATTCATTATCTAAACAAACATATTTTTATTTTACTTACAATGTCTTTGTTTCCACTTCCTGATTCTCTTGGGCACAAATGATGTAATGTGCCAAAGTGTTGCATTCTGGGAAGGTTACATCAGCAGAGCATTACTGGGAAATCTCATCTGTAATCTCATGAAATCTCAGGGCAAGGCATTTTCCTCCCCTGACATGATGTGCATGGTCACATGTCCTAGTCACATGTGCTAGAGTTCCAGGAAGTAAAGGGAGATCTAGTAACCTGTGCTTAGTTAAAATGGTCACTGTCAGAAGACTGGGGAACAAAAGAAAAATAAGGTATGCAAAAAATAAAAAGCAGGCAATTTTCTATAAGTATCTGTTTGTAGATTGTCAATACTAAGCATTTCTAAAGGTGTCTTTGTTGTTATTTTGAACATATGGGTAAAGGTCCGCTTTAATATTGAGCTCTGGGCAAACATTTGCAAAACTATATGGGAACTGTTTTACATGGAAAAGGATATGTATTTCTGTCACAGCCAGCTCAGTGACCTGAGTTTTCTCTGCTTCAGTTAAATAACACAACTAGGTCACCTGTCTGCCCTGAGCCTGTGAATGGACATTGGACAGTTTGATGAGGTCATGTCTCTGCTCTCTCTACCTGTCAACATATTCCTTGTCATTAAATGCATGCAACTGAGCTCTTGATATTTCCTCCTGCCCGTGCACCTTTCCCCAACTTTTCCCTTGAGATTGTTAACACAACTATCCAGCCCTCCCCCCATGCCAAGGTCCTAGGTGTCATCCTTGACTCGGACCTCACCTTTCTCCCCCACATCCAATCACTATCCAAATCATGCCGCCTCCACCTTCGTAACATCTCCAAAATACGCTCCTTCCTCACCAAAGATACCACAAAATTGCTCATCCACTCCCTTGTTATCTCTCGTCTTGACTATTGCAACTCCCTCCTCATTGGCCTACCTCTACACAGGCTATCCCCCCTTCAGTCTATCATGAATGCAGCTGCTAGACTCATCCACCTAACCAACCGCTCAGTGTCTGCAACCCCCCTCTGTCAATCCCTACACTGGCTTCCTATAGCCCAAAGGATAAAATTCAAAATATTAACAACCACGTACAAAGCCATCCACAACTCTGGCCCCGGCTATATCTCCAACCTGGTCTCAAAGTATTACCCTAACCGTCCCCTCCGCTCTTCACAAGACCTCCTGCTTTCCAGCTCCGTCATCAACTCCTCCCATGCTCGCCTCCAGGACTTCACTAGAGTGTCTCCCATTCTATGGAACTCTCTACCCCAACCTGTCCGTCTATCTCCCACACTGACTGCCTTTAGGCGATCCCTTAAGACTCATCTCTTCAGGGAAGCCTATCCCACCTCAACCTAACCACTGAACAATCACTTTCTCAAACAATCATCCCCGCACAGCTACCTCCTCATGTATCACTTGCCCCTCCCTTTTAGATTGTAAGCCCTCACGGGCAGGGCCCTCCTTACCATCTTGTCTTAAATTGTATTGTGACTGTAATGTCTTCCTTATATTGTAAAGCGCTGTGCAAACTATTGGCGCTATATAAATCCTGTATAATAATAATAATAATAATGAGCAGGACACCTGACTGGTCCCAAGTATGGCCCCTCCCTCTCCTTAGTGCTGTTGTACAGGGGATTTACAGGGGCCCAAATCAAGTGAAATTCAGGTATTTAGCTAGTTCCATTGAATATGCATTTCATTTTTTTATGTACACATATGATTACATTCATTGGTGTTTTAATATCTGTCTGGAATTCAGTTTTAAGAAATGAACTCCATTCCCAAGATTGAAATTAGATTTTGTCCTGGCATATAAAGCACACTACCCAGAATTAATGTGATTGCCATTGGAAAACAGTGCTTGGAAATTAATCGGTATTGTTTACATAGTGAATACTTGCTGAAGCTCAATAAAGTGCAGAATGTCTGTTGTGATGTCTTTAAATGGTGTGAGACACACTATTTTTGTATTAAACCTCATAGTTATGAGATTACCAGTCCAGCTGGCTGTTATTGCATATGTAATGGACTGTGATGAAATTTGTGCTGCACACTGTGCTGAAGTTGCAAAAATTACTACCTGCTGCAACAGCAGTGGGAACTCCATAAGCTATCTGATTTGTCCAAAAGCTGACACAGAGCAGGTTTTAGCTATAAAAGTAAGAGTAAAAAAAAAAATGTCATGTGGTTAATTTAGCTTGACTGGGAATATTCCAATAGGGCACCTATCGCTATACATACTGTATCTAATATAAGCATCAGTATTAGACAGATATAATTTTAGAAAATATCTGTTCAGTAAGAAAACTTGCTTCAGGGATAACCTCAAGAAAATAAGAAAATGTTTATTCTCATGAGAAAATGTTGGCCTCGTGATGATTCTGCTGTTGACCTCACTGCTGGGTGAGCTAGCTGCTCATTATACAGTCCTATGACTCTCATATGACTTTAAACATAATACTACCATGTCATATGTGTGTGATCTTTCCATTTGACACTTTGCCCCTATACTTAAATTATGAATTACAATATTTATAGCAAATAAAGTCACATAAGTTGTAGTAAATGCCTAAGGCCATTTTTGGTTGATTTACTAAAGGCAAAGGTGGAGCTCTGCAGACTTCCAAAAATGTGCATGCAAAAATACTATTCTGTTCCCCTTCATGTGATTGGGTATTGTTTGCGAAGAGAACTTTCATTACAATCATTAAGCTAAGGGAACATTCCCTTGCAAAGAAAACCTGCTATTTTAGCCAATCAATCCAATAAAATGTACAATCATTTATAATCTACATTTACCACCATTGATAATATACAGGTAGCCCTCGTTTTGCGCCACTTCAGTTTGCGATGTATCAAAACAATGCCCTTTTTGGCTGGTTACGTGACCGCCATTGAAACAGCAGAGTCGGCACCATCTAGCGTAATCTTCCTCTGCAGACCTCTACAACTGCACGTGGCTAAAATACTGACAGTACTGTACACAGTCTCTGAAGGCTGGACCCAAGCACAGGTGGAGGATCACTGCTCGGGAAGGGGCTTTGCACAGTCAAAAAAATGTGGACACCTACAGATGCACACAGTGGTACACTTGGAGATATGGAGGAGCAAAAGAGTCACTTGGAGATACAGAGGAGCACAGGAGGTACACATGAAGATATGGAGGAGCACAGGGGTACACTTGGAGATATGGAGGAGCACAGAGGTACACTTGGAGATACAGAGGAGAACAGGGGTACACTTGGAGATATGGAGGCACACAGAACATCATTTGGAGATATGGAGGCACATAGAAGCATAATAATCATTTCAAAGCTTTAAATTTAATGTATTATGTCACTTATGTCATTTTTGAGAGAGGCCTGGAACCTAAGTCCCTTGCTTCCCATTGACTTACATTATATACAGGTTTGAATGAGAACTATAGGGTAACCTTTATTCCCAATAGTTCTCCTCAGGATCACGGGAGGACATGTACTAACCTTCTCCTGTGATCCAGAACTTAGTATATAGTGGGCTATTGCTCGCTATATGCTGAGAGCGCTGCAGCTGGGATTGATCCCGACAATACAGACGGGTGACAGCTGGCTCTGCCTCTTTAGATGCAGAGTCAGCTGAGCCTCCCCCTCCCCTGTCCGTTCCTCCACTTAGCACTGGGGGATCGGAGAAGGGAGGGGGGAATACCTGTGGTGAGTGGTGACTGACAGTCACCTCTCTCTGCAGGGGGGGGGGTCGGGAAGTGAGCGGGTCAGCAGTATGTTTCCGCTCACTTCCTGATCAATAGAGCCAACCTGTGGCAGATTCTTTGTCACGGGAGGGCTTGAATTATGGACATGAGGGATTCCCCCCCCCCCCCCCTATAATTCTCCTTTAAATTTACATTTTTCTATTTGCATAAATAGGAACCTAACCTTGGCATAAATTGAGGGCTACTTGTATTCAAATAGGATACGTAGAGGTCATATTTTTCTTCATATTGTAAAAAACACATAGATATACACTAAATGCCTGTTCTTATGGTTCTCATAGCTGTGTCTTTTTGTGCAGGGTTAAAACAACCCTGCACAAAGTGGAAATGACATAGAAAACACATGATTCTTGCACATTTGGGTTAGAATTGGTTGGATAATGCTGCACAAACATCAGTTTAGATAATCCTGGACTGATGCCATTTAGGGGGATGGATATTCTGTTAATCTGCAAAGATACATAACAATAAAACAAAGCTCCCCATTACTGCATCTTAGATCTCCTGTGGTGCCTAAAAATGGCAAAAGCCTACTGCGCCCAACATTCCCAGGTAATCTACCATGCAAGTACCAACCAAGCCCAACCCTGATTAGCTGGTAATTCTAGGAGCATTTAGTGTGAGGAGGCCATTTGTTTTGCTTTCTTTTTACTTGCTTCTATTCTACTTGTCACTGGCAGCCTCACCTCACTCTTTCACTGTACTATAAGCTGCTGCTCTTATACAACCACTGCCATCCACTCATGTATAAAGGCTCACAAAATGTTATACTTGTAGATGTAGAGATGAACAGATTTCCCACTGCTGACCACTGTACAACAGCAGCATGCATAAACAAAAATATAAAAGTACTTTTACATTATTTCAAGCTGTGTTTTTGCCTAAGCCTCCATTAACATCTTTGCAATGTGGGAGCATGTGAGATGTCACACGTGATCTGGCATCACATGTTGCAATGTTAGGTGCGTTGTAGTGCCATCTTTCTTAATGGCACCCCAACACACCTAGGCATTGCACGAACGTCGGATTACACCACATTGCATGGTAACTTATTACCATGCAATGTGATGTGATGTGATTAAAAAAAAAGATTCATGCACTATTTCAGTGCAATTTATCTGCAGGCTACTCAACCACAGCACACCACAATGCACTCTCCTAGAGCACCTCTGCAATATCATCAACAGGGGCTTACATGAGAAAAAAATTGTCTGCTATATAGATGTACCCTGGTTATTTATTTTCATTTACATTCATCTTTTACCTCTAATACACAGGGAAGGAAGAAATGCACTTGTTACTTCAATATGCTTGTTTAAATACCTTATTATGTATACTTTGATTGAGCTCATCTGCATGATGCTTCTATTTTGGGTAAGAAAAAAAAAGCTTTGTAACATGTTATGGAAATGCAAACACATGTTTTTGAGGTGTATTATCTAGTAGTATAATATGGTTTGCATTCTTATCAGTTCAATCATTGCTTTATCAGTTGGCTTGCATTTAGGGACAAATTAAATAAACAGGGTATCCAATTTTCTCAAAAGAGCACATCAGGCATATGGTTTTCTTCTTACATAGCAAGGAAGCCATCAAAGGTGCCTTACGTACTGTCAACTTATCACAAACCTGGGCAATTTAAAATGAAAATCTGGTTTGCAACTGAATAAACAGTTACCTTCATTTAAGTTACATTCAGTGAAAACCACATGGCAGATGGGTCATAAGATTATCCAACCTAATTTATAACCAAATTTTGACTTTTCCCGTAAAAGAAGACCTTGATACTGCCCCAAACCCTAGTTATTAGAGCTGCCTATCGTATTTAAACAAACAGTCCTTTAAAATGCCCAAAGTTTGGTTGTTACAGCGAAAGTCATAATTTACATATACATTCAGTTGCCTATATCTCTAACCCCACTATTGTTTTGAAATAGTTTTGATCTGTCATGTATTTTGCTCAGTTGGCATTGCCCATGTTTGTGACAGGTTTACTGTAAGCAAGGGGAAGGTGTATTAGTTTAGGAAGGTGACACAAAAAACAGGGCCTTCTCTCAATATACCAACACAGTTTTTAGTAGCCAAGGAATAGGGTGGTGGAGGGTACATTGCTAGACACATTCCTGCTGAGCTGCTAAACAGTGCATAGGACCATGATACAAGAAGAGCAAAAAATCTTATACATTGTTTTAATAAAAACCTAACTCTAATCACCTTACCTTTATGCTAAACAAGAACTGCCCTACTGCAAATAATACAAAGTGTTCTGCCCCATGCTGATTCTCCCCTTCATTAAAGCAGAACTAAAGTAACTTTTTCCTCAAAATGAATCAGTCAGAAATTGGAAGGAAAACCAGTACTGCATGCACAATTGTAAATGTGTACTCGATTTTGCTTTACCCATACTTTATATTAACTGTATGCCATCTTGCAGTTTTTTTCCATTGACTTCCTTAACATGTAATTTAATTTCCACCATAATGCTCCCTGTATTATTTTATTGGCTATTTTGACTAAATGCAGATGTGAATCAAATGAGAAGGGAGAACATATTTCAGCCGATATACAGCTGAAATCAGCCGTACCAGCCTGAAGTGAATAGCCGAACAGCGTTCGGCTCACTTCGCTTCAGGTCGGTCATTCACTTGGCTGTCTACGGCAGCTCAGTGAATAGACCCCTAAATGTTTTGCATTAAAAATGAACTTTAGTTCTGCTTTAAATATCCCCTTCCTGGCTGTTAAAATTATTTCAATCTAAAATTTTAATGATGTGTTTACATAAAGGAAAACTGATAAAATTATTTTTTTCATTTTTTTTCTCAGAAAAAAACTTTACTTGGAAATTACCATTACCTGATGCAGGACATAGCAATTACTGTAACAGTTATATTGACAAGTAAGTTTTTGATCATCAGAAGCTGTTGTCAACAAATCTTGTTAATGTTGAATAAACATTTATTTTAGAAATGTTTTATAATGTTTAACCACTTGAAGACCGGGTATGTTAAACCCTCTTCCTGGCCAGGCCATTTTTCAGTGTTCAGCGCTGCAGTATTTTTACTGACATTTATTCCGTCATGCAACGCTGTACTGAAATTAATTTTATAAAAAATTTTTGGAACTGATAGAGCTTTCTTTTGGTGGTATTTAATCACCACTGCAGTTTTTATTTTTTACTATATAACAAAAAAAGTACAGAAAATTTCGAAAAAATTATCTTTTTCTCTAAGATATGTTATGAAACATTTATTATCACCCCATTGTTTTGGTAACATGTATAAGACGGACTCACATCGGGTAAATAGCAAAACAAATGGCAAACGCATACAACTTTTTGCTGTTGTACATCGGGTAAATAGACACCAAACATGTCAAGCCTTAAAATGGCGTGCGATTGCAAAATCGCAAAAAACGACCACAATCAAAATTGGCCATAGACAACGCTTTAGAAGCTTTTACCGCTCATCAGTTTAGTGCTATCAGTGATTAATGGCCCTAGAACTATTGTTTTCAGTCCGACGTTCACGGTGATATTTAACATGTGTGGCACAATGGGCGCAATCGTCTTTTTCGCACATATGTGCACCCAAAACATGTTTGTATGTGTATGTGGGGGCATGCCACAGTCTTCTGCATGCTATCAGTATGGTCACTGTCCAGCCTTTAAGCATCCTGTTGTCAGGCCTCTGCCTACTCCTCCATTCATGAAATGATTGGTTCATTCTATCTGTGCCTGATTTAAACCTCAATGACCCTGTACCCAATTCTTGTGACAGGTTTCTCTACATTCCTGACTTATTGCCTTTGCCTGTATCTGTCCTTCTGTGTTCGGACCTTTTGCCTGTTTACTGACCACTTCTCTGCCTGCTGCCTGGATCAATTCTTTGGTTAATTAACAGCCATATCTCTGCTTGCCACTTGGACCAACTTTTTGCCTTTTTACTGACCATGTTTCTGCCCGCAGCCTGGCTCAACCCATTGCTTGTTTTCTGACAACATCTAAGTCTGCTACTGGGACTGACCTATCCATATGCCAAGGCACCCATCCCTGTGATCCACTGTGGACATCTGTACTTTCTGTGACACAGGAATTTTGTTTTACCTTTGCTCGGCCTCCTGTACTTTTCCGGCCAGAGAACATAGCATTATGTAGTAAGTCCTAGAGCAACCAAGTACTGCTAGGCCTGCTTGCCTTAAGTGAATATGGGCTGCTTTAGGTGAAGCTACACTAGCCAGCTATATTCTCTGACCAGTCACACAGGAGTGAGTATTACAACGTGAAAAAGGCCATCTACATCAAACTGGAACAATCATCCCTGAACAGGGGTGGGGATCCTTGACATCATATTGCCATTTAACATCTGTCTTAGTGATTTGACAACAATTCACACCATTTGCCATATAAATTGTGTAATTAACCCTTAGGCAGTGTTTCTGGCACAAAGAATGGGATTATGAAGAAAAAAAAACTTCCACAACTTTCATCCCTCCCATTCAGTTTTTGCACAATCAACATCTACACATTCCAGGATGATTGAATTTAAGTGGCTGTGCAACCTGTGCAGATAAAAATGCTGGGGTATCTTCCTTCCTGGAAATTAAGACGTGGCTTGGAGAAGCTATGAAACATCTTCAACATTACGGAACCAAAACAATGGTTTCAGGCATCCCAACCCCTAAGGCCAGGGACAGCCAAAACCATAATTCTTTTGTTGCGCACACTGTAATTACTATGTTCCACTGTTTGGTTAGGTAAAAAAATGTAACTGCAGATTAATAAACGGCTGTGTGGCATCCCTTTGTTGTGCGTTTTTGTATGTGTAGCTGTATATACATTGTGTGTGTGTGTGTATATATCCACGTAGGCCACGTAAAATGACAGAGCGGGGTCACCACATGCTGAAGTGCACAGTGCCAGAAGTCACCAACTGTCTGCACATTCAATAGCTACAGACGTCCAAACTTCCTTCCGTGGCCTTCAGATTGGCAAAACAACAGTGCATAGAGAGCTTCGTGGAATGGGTTTCCATGGCCGAGCAGCTGCATCCAAGCCTTACATCACCAAGTGCAATGCAAAGAGTCGGATGCAGTGGTGTAAATCACACCACCGCTGGACTCTAGAGAAGTGGAGTGACGGATCACGTTTCTCTTTCTGGCAATCCGATGGACGTGTCTGGGTTTGGCGGTTGCCAGAAGAACAGTACTTGTCTGACTGCATTGTGCCAAGTGAAAAGTTTGCTGGAGGGGAGATTATGGTGTGGGGTTGTTTTTCAGGGGTTGGGCTTGGTCCCTTAGTTCCAGTGAAAGGAACTCTTAAGGCATCAGCATACCAAGACATTTTGGACAATTTCAATGCTCCCTGTTCCAACATGACTGCGCAACAGCAAGGTCCTTAAAGACATCTATGAGGGAGTTTGGGGTGGAGGAACTTGACTGGCCTGCACAGAGTCCTGACCTCAACCCGATAGAACACCTTTGGGATGAATTAGAGCAGAGACTGTGAGCCAGGCCTTCTCGTCCAACATCAGTACCTGACATCACAAATGCGCTTCTGGAAGAATGGTCAAACATTCCCATAGACACACTCCTAAACCTTGTGGACAGCCTTCCCAGAAGAGTTGAAGCTATTGACAGCTGCAAAGGGTGGGCCAACTCAATATTGAACCCTACGGACTAAGAACGGGATGCCAGTAAAGTTCATGTGCGTGTAAAGGCAGGCGTCCCAATACTTTTGGTAATATAGTATATATATATATATCTATATATTTATACAGTAATACCTTGGTTTACAAGTAACTTGGTTTGAGAGCGTTTTGCCAGACAAGCAAACATTTCTGAAAAATTTTGCTTTGATATACAAGCAAATGTCTTGCAAGAAGAGCAAAATTTTGTAGAAAAGCATCACCTGAATAAGGCTGTAGCAGTGTGAGCGATGAGTCTGTTTAACGACAATGCAATGTCACATTGGATAGATTCCTTGTTAAGGTTTCACGAAATGAAAAAGATTCAATTGAGTCAAGAGATAGCAGTGATTCCGTTACTGATAGTGAAAGTCGTCCTACGCAATAATCCTGCTCCCTCTTGTCCCTCTCACACCAGCCACGAAGGTACCGGTAATTGGTTAATTTTTCTTTATATTTTATACGTTATTATATTACAGTACAGTATTGTAATCATTTTATATGAATATTTTTGGGATGTGGAACGAATCATCGGAATTTCCATTATTTCCTATGGGGAAATTCGCTTTGATATACAAGCGCTTTGGATTACAAGCATGCTTCCGGAACTAATTATGCTCGTAAACCAAGGTATTACTGTATATATATAGATATATATACTGTATATATATATCTATATATATATTGTTGGACACATGTTCATACTCCCTGCATAAATCATTATGCAATTAGACAATTTAGGACAACTATCAAACCCCATAACTGTCGCATGATCTGCCAGGGCTATAGCTATTTTCTTGCATGTGAAACACTTGATGCATAAAATCACAAACACATAATTTTCTGAAATGTTTTTGCTTTTTCTACAGTGAGTTTAACTGGTCCTGCTCCAAAGCTAGCCCCATATAGACATGCGGTGAGTCTGATGTCTCCTCCCCTGCTGCTGTCAGTGACTCTCCATACCATATTCACCATTGTTATACAAACAAGTGCATTTTTTCTGGTACAGCAGCAACCATGGTACAATGAGACTGATGTTTTCAGGTGAGAATACTTTCATTTATTTAAATAGAGTAAATTATATTACTTTGCATATCATTAAAGTCAACTTGTCAATACCCACCAGACTAAAAAGGCCACAGAACCATACTTGCATATAATACAGTTTACAAAGAACAAGTTCTAATTACACTTTCTGATTCATGTCTTCATGTGTGTGGATATCTTTTAGAGACACGAGCACACCGTAAAATAAAGTTTGTTTTCATATATTTGTCTAAATTGTAATAATAAATAACTTAGGGCTTGGTAGAATTCCTTGTTGAAAGTTTTCTCTACACCTGTTTTTTTCAGTGTTGCCGCCGTATTGCCACAGTGTTTGTATTTGTTCCTTAATCTTAGAAACAAATGGGATAATGCATAATAAATAACATATTTATTTGTATTCTGTTTTTGTATTCAGTGCATGTGATCATCACAATCAAAGTTATGTCAACCACACAATGATAGCGCATTATGGTCAGTCACAGAATTTCCTGACTACCACGCTGTGGCCTGTGACTGGGATAAACCTAATCATTGTTGAGTTTGTATTCTGCAAAGGAAAGCCTTTTAGAAAACCAATATATACTAACTGTAAGTGCCTATGATATCATATTTGTCACTTTATGTAACATTGCATCTACTGTATAATGTAAATTTATTAAACCCCCCAGAAGTCCCTGTTATAGGTCCTGTATATTCCGTTATAGATACTGTATATTCAAAAACATTATTTTATATGCTTCTGAACAAATATTTTCTGAAAGAGATACAAAATATTTGTTAGATATTTTTTATACACTGATTACTGGAAAATAGGTATTAATGACCTTTTTGGAAAAAAGAAATACACTTTTCTGGAGATTAGAAGAGTTTAAGGATTAAGAGTATCTATAATGTAGGTGACAATGTTAAGAGCAACAAAATCCGATGGTTTGCTTTTTAATAAAGTAGTCAGCAGCAATACTTGAATTTTAATATCTTATATTTAATTTTCTTAAAAACGTGGACACAACTTGAGTAGAAATCAGCCGTACTGAGCTGGAATGAATAGCCGAACGTCGTTCGGCTCTGTTCACTTTGGCTCAGTTATTCACTTGGCTGCCTTTGGCAGCTTAGTAAATATCCCTATAAATCTCCCCACAGCACACATCAAATTCACTCTGTTTTCCCTGCTGCCTCCTCACCCCCTTAAACACATAGCATTCCAGAAGCTTAACAAGCCTAGCCAGCTCACCTCAGGAATCAGGAATTCCCCCAGCTCTTATTACGTGGCTCTGCTGCCAACAGCTCTCCTCCTGCAAATACACACCTTCACTCCCCACCTGTAATCTCTGCCACTACAACCTCTCAGCTCTGAAACTATCAGGTTCTGGTTAGGTCCCTGCTCCTGCAGTAGGTCTTCCCCAGGGAGAAGGCAGGATCTCTGACAGACAGCAGAGATTCAGAGACTGGAATCAGCATGGAAGTTGTCTAAGCATCTGTGTGTGCTTAGCAAGCTGCATGGAAATGATGGAGGTGTGAATTTGCAGGAAGAGTGCTGTGGCCAGCAAAGGTATGATGAGAGCTATTGGGGATCTCCTGAGATGAGCTGGCCAGGGTTGCAAAGCTCCTGGGGCGAATGTGTATGAGGCGGATGAGGGCAGCAAGGATAACAGCATGAAATTGAAAATGAGCCATACTAAAAGACATCTCTCCCATCTGCCTCTCCCCCCCGCCCCCCACTTCTGCAAATACACATACCCCTTCTTATCCAACAGAAATCCCTACCTGGCCCCCCTGCTGGCACATCACTCACTGACTACTGTCATACCCTCTGCATTCCTCTCCTGCAAATAATCTACTCTCCGCTTCTAAACATATTGGCTGCAATGACACCCTCCGCACTCCACTCCTGCACATTCTGGATGCTATCTTACCCTTTCACAATCCTTTTCTGCACAAACTGCCCACTGCCATGTCCTCCGCGCTCCTCTCCTGAACAAAATGGCTGCCATAATATCCTCCGCGCTCCTCTCCTGCACATACTGCCCACTGTCATACCTGCCACTAGTTCTCTACTACACATGCTGACATACTTTCTGCTCTCTTCCTCTGCCCTCTTCTGCACAGTTCAAGCACTAAAACTTTTTTTTTTTAATAGTCGCCAGCCTTTCAAATTCTCTAACAGATACACTTTGCTTGTATTAATTAATCACCATTTGAAATCATGATCAATGCTGGCAAATGTAATATTGGCTGAATATATTAAAAATGTGGCCAATGATACTGCAACTTAACTTTCCCATTGAAGAAATGAAAACCCAGAAGTCGGTAAACATCCACCTCCCATACAGTATGAGCTGACCTCTATGTTATCCTGTAAATATTGTTTAATAAAATAATAGTAACGACCTAGGTAGAATTTTACAATATTTATTGTATAATTGTTTTTCTATATAGCACTAAGCTGTATACCAAATTTATTTTATATTTCATTTGATTCCTAAATAATACACTAAGGAGACCCTAGATAGAAGCATTGAGCAAACAATTAGTTAATGCTTTATAAAGTTTAAATTATATCCTAAACTTGGTACGTATATACACTGCGCATTAAGGAGTGTATAATTTAGAGTATAAATCTAGTAACAACACTACAACTGCAATTATGTTTATTTTCTTGTAGATGTATTATGCATATTAATATTAGCTCAACTGGGGGCCTTCCTTTTTATGCTGTTTGCTGATATTGGAACACTGTACAGTTCCATGGAGGTATGTATAAGATGAGAATTAATTAAATATATGTATGAAGAAGAGCATGTCATTCAAGAATGTGTTCAAATTAAATATTAACTCATGAACTGACATACTCAAGATAGAATACAGAAGTACAAGTAGTACTAAAAAAGTCACTATTTATATAACAGCACATGCATTCAATTTACTAACCTATAATGATCCCTATTTGGCATATTATTTTAAGTAGTAAATACCACTAAGAACTGAAAATAACAATCACATAGCAAAAAGTAAAAATAATAATAATAATAAATAATAATTTAAAAAAAAGAAAAATCAGTGTTTCTCTCCTGGGCGGCCGGGAGCGGGAGACTCCTGGAACGCCCGGGAGAGTTTGATGTCAGGAGATCAATGTCCATGGTCTGCCGCCTCCTGTAGTTTTCTGCAGTCAGCCTGTAGTGGGTGAACCTGTTGCGCCCTTCCCACAGTTCTGCTCCCTGCATACGCTATGTACAGCCCAGTATTCCTATCCTCCTAGACAAAATGGGCATTTAACCCATGCAGTGTAGAGGGGGATCTACTACAAGGCTTAATTTTTCTCTAGCTCAAAGTTCAGCTTTAAAGAAGGTCTGCAAACAGTCAGATATTATATTCTTATCTCTTCTGTTAACTCCATAAATGCCTATTATAAAAATGAAATATTTGCATCTAAATATGATTAATTCTATGGGCTTTTGTGCTGTACCTAAAACCATTGTTGCATGTGCATGTATATGTTCATTTACTGTGGTAACATATTTTTATGTAATCTCTCAGCTTGTCTGCACACCATACTATTGGAGAATCGAAATATTAAGCATGCTTATTGTGCTTTTCATTGCATCCTATGGTGTGGAAGTAAGTTTTTTTTTTAAATGATTTTATGAATCTTGCGTTACACACATCAATATATAATATTTAATTACTATAAACATATTTTTGGCAAAGATTTCTGGATGCATGTTATAATTGTTTATGACAGTAATGCTTATAGTAAGTGCATGCATTTTCAAGCTTTCAAATTAAGTGGTGAACTACTGTTTAAAATATGCAGTCCAAAAAAACAAACAAATTGAAGCTAAACTTGAATAAGATTAATAACCAGAAAGATTGAATGGGTGGGCATAATGTCATACCTAACTCATATATAAGATATACATTTTCTCCAACAGGGTGAGACATGTGCACATATGATAACATCAATCTTTTGTAGTTTGCAAATGGGATCATTAGACAGTGTGCTCATTGGAGGAATTGTTTATTGCTTACTGCATATCTGTAACATGTGGAAAGCTATGTGTTATGTGAGCTTATATATGAGATTAATACATCTTTTTTCTTTGTTAGATCTTTGTTTACAATAGAACACTCTGGCAATTTATTATGAAGATTTCAGGTTACAAATCAAAGAGTCATTACAAGAAACTCAAGAGCACATTGGAAAAGGACATAAACTTGCAAAAAAGAATGTCTTATTCAAGGCCACAGTTGGAACTAATGGCAAATGAGTGTGTTTAATGTATTTATCAGTGAAAAAGTGTCAGTCATAGTGCAAATTGTGTTTAGAAACAGTATATTGGGGCTGATTTGCTAAAGGAGCATAGAATGGTCTCACCCTGTCATCAAACATCTCCCCCTTATGTTTCCCTTCTGCTCTTAGTACACAAAAGAAAAAGTCTCTATGAAAAGTTAATAGTTAATGTGGACACTTGGCATCTATTTTGGAGTCTCTCCTATTGTTAGCCAGAAGATACATTCATTTTTAAAGGCCCCATGGCAAGTAATAATTGTGTGCACTAGCAAACAAAAGGCTACCTCATACATTTTTGCTTTAACCTCTTGCCGTCCGCCCGTAGTAAAAAAACGGACAGACGGCACTGCTGCGTTTGCGGGTTGCCGTCTCCAGACGGCAATTTTTTTCTGCTCGCGCGCGCCCCCTAGCGGGCACGCACGGGCAGAAAAGACCCGACCGTTGCACACACCCGTTACCGGGTGTTTCACATATAGGCGATCAGCGGGTCCATAGCCCGCCGATCGCCTATATGTGCTCGTTCGCGGCACCCCCCCCACCAGGGTTGTTATCCCCCTATATAATAGCAATACCAATAAGTGCAAAAAAAATAAATATAAATAAAAAAAAATAAAAGTAACACATAAAAAAGTAAAATAAAATAAAAGTCACATATAAAAAAAGGGGAAAAAAACCCCCCAAAATGTTTAACTCCCCCACCCCCACGTTTACGCGCCTATAAACGTAAATACGCGTCCGGTGCCCCAGCGCGCAAAAATTACAATTGCGCTACACATGTTACATATCGCCGCGAACGTCGCAGTGAGAGCAATCATTTTAGGGCCATCAATCACTGATAACACTAAACTGATGAGCGGTAACAGCTTTTAAAGCGTCGCCTATGGCCAATTTTGGGTATTATCGTTTTTTGAGGTTTCGCGCGCGCACGCAATTTTAAGGCTTGACATGTTTAGTGTCTTTTTACCCGACGTGACCCCATCTTTTATATTTTACCAAAAAATTGGGTAATAATAAATGTTTTATCATTTAATATAGGGGAAACTGTTTTTTTTTTTAAATTTCGGTAATTTTTCCTTAATATAGTAAAAAAATAAAACCCCCAGTGGTGAATAAATACCACCAAAAGAAAGCTCTATCTGTCCCCAAAAAAGGGTATAAAATTCATTTCAGTACAGCGCTGCATGACGGAATAAATGTCAGTCAAAGTACCGCAGCGCTGAATACTGAAAAATGGCCTGGATGGGAAGGGGGTTTAACACCGCGGATGTCAACTGGTTAACCTGCCCCTTCTGCCTTCCAAGCCTTGCTATTGATCTGCCTATCACAGTGAGGGGCCAATAGTAAGGGAGTTGAACAAAGTGCTTACTTTTTAGCTTAATTAACTTGTTTGTATTATAGAACACCCAGGATTTTAAGGGTCCTGCAGTGTTCTAGAAGAAGCTTAAAAGTACCCATTGGTGTCCACTGTTGCATACAAATCATAAATTAGTATGTACAGGTTGGTTTAAATATTTGTAAATGGCTTATATTGGAATATATGTCTTCCATGATGATCATAAGTTCTAAGACCATCTGGAAAATGCAACAAATTTCAATATTTGGGCTTTTACTGAATTACTTATTATAGAATAAAACACTCATAAATCTTACAGGGCTATTTACAAAAGGGTGTGGAGAAGGCAGGAGAAGTGAACAATCTAGGGCCACAATAGCTGATTTGGAAAAATCCTCCTATTCAGCTCACTTTCCAGTTCAGCTATGTTGTCCTAGATTGTTAACTTCCCCTGCCTTCTCCAAACTCTTCACCCTTTTGTGAATAACCCTGTTAGAGAAGTGAGCTTGATGGTTGCTTAAAGTGACAGTTTCTTTTTTTTTCCAAAAACACTTTATTTCCGTTTGACATACATCTCACTGTACAATACTCTGAGCATGACATTAACACAACCATAATACAGAGATGACATTTTATCGCTTATCTAACAATGCCATCGTGTTCTACAAAAGTCCAAGATTAGCGACCACAATGTACGGATTATTATAAACAGATTAAGACTGTAATTTAAACAATTAAGTTGCGCTCGGTCAGATTGTGAATAGGTGTTGAAATAAATGTAATAATCTCTCAAAACAAAGGGAAATATTACCTGCAGATAACAAAATAAATATCTCCACTAGTGACAGCGAATGAATGATTAAAAGGTATGTGAACGTGTCAATCACAACCCGGTGTTACTCGAGTGTTTGTATATGTATAGTGGGCTTTGACATACTGAACAGATCATTTATTGAGTGATAGAAAATACAGTGCAACCCAGTGCGCTCTGGTTCCTCTCAAAGCGGGAACTGCGGGGTTAATAGGCTCAAATCCTAACGACAATGTAGCAAGCAGTCATTTCAGAGAAATTGCGGTTTGCATAAAACAGTAATTACTTTCCTTATTTCCGTAATGTCTGAGTGGAAAGTTTGTTCGTTCACCAGAGGGTTCCTCAGGGATGTCCGCAAGAGTCCATGTCAGACCACACAATCGCCCAGAGAATCCGGAAAGGTCTGTGGTTATAATGATCCGCCACAATCTTTTCTCTCCAGATCTAGCAATCTGGTATAGTTTTCTCCTCTTATAACAGGTTTTCTAAAGACTCACCGCCCGACTGACGGCAAAGACCTGTTGAAAAAAACTCCCAGGGGAAAAAACGGAGAAAGAAGGCGGGACCTTCTAAGTGCAGTAATTAAAAAGTTTTTTTTTGGTTTTTTTTTAAACGGAGAAAGAAGGCGGGACCTTCTAAGTGCAGTAATTAAAAAAGTTTATTATTTATTATTTATTATTATACATATACAAACACTCGAGTAACACCGGGCTGTGATTGACACGTTCACATACCTTTTAATCATTCATTCACTGTCACTGGTGGAGATATTTTTTTTGTTATCTGCAGGTAATCTTTCCCTTTGTTTCGAGAGATTATTACATTTATTTCAACACCTATTCACAATCTGACCGAGCGCAACTTACTTGCTACACATTAGATTTACCTACACACATAGTTGCCGCTGGTCCAATTAGTTTTTGAGTCACTCACTCCTAGCGCAGTGATTTTTGGATTATTATTGTAATTTAAACAAACTAAAACAAAAACGCAACCGAACATAGTACCATGGGTCCTATATAGCCCTGTGTATATAGTGTATTATGCTTGGTGGAGGGGGATCCTCTCTGGTATGGGTTCAATTGTATTACCCTCGTGTACACATTACTAACCCTCTTCCTAGTGACGCTGTCCTGTTACTGGGGTGAGGTATGCAAGTAAGTACATAGATTAGTATTAAAGAATATTGGACTTTTGGCCAGTTTCGTGTCTGTCTCCGTCTTTCCCATACGGTATTGTGGAATTACTTTATTGTGGAATTACTTTGTGTCCCCTTTCCCAGGTTAGCAAGTAGGACACTCTTAGAAAATCTAAAAGGATATAAAAATGTCTCTTTTTCTGCTGCAGTAAAAACAAAAGTAATAAAGGAAATCCATCTGTTGTAAAAGGACGTGATCTTTTTATCTTCCTCTATCTGGGTTTCAGCATCCAGCTTTTCTAAGGGGAGTAGGCTGAGGAGGTCCTCTTTGAGCCTTTGGATAGTGGGAGGAGTAGGAGAGAGCCATTCTCTCATTATGCATCTTCTGGCGCTAGCAGTGAGATGCCTATCCACTGCTTGTCAAATCTACTTAGTGTAGAGGGCATTTCCCAGTAGTTAAACAGCAGTAGAAGAGCGTTAAGTGGGATCTGTTGGCCCACATCAGACTACAAAAACACAGTTACTGAAACCCAGAAAGATTGGATCAGGGGACAGGTCCACAAACAATGAAACAGGGGAGCAGCCAATAGCTTACACTTCGGGCAATGATCAAGATAAACTATGTCACCGCCCTGTTTACGTTTAATCTGGAAGGCATAATATGCTCTGTGAATAATGCGGTACTGTGTTTCTCGCCACTTTTCGTTAATCATAGCTGAGCATGTGTTACGGTACCCCATGCAGTATCTTTTCGACAATGTCTTCTACAGGAATATCGTTTTGCCATTTGGTAAGATTAGAGTGTGACAGGGAAGGGTGGCAGTTTCTTTAAAGCTGGTTTAGATAAGAATGTTTTTGGGGACAGAGTACTAGTCACATAATTTACCTGTAATTAAGTGTATCCTATTTCCTGCTGGCTGCTGATCATTGTAAACATCCTTCCTTCTGTGATGTTGGATCCTCCTCATAGTGGTGAACGTCCATTGACTGCCTCCTCTGTAACAGTGGAGGATCGGTGCCGCTTTCCCTCACCTTCTTCCTCCTAATGTAGTCACAAAACTCCTAGTATTATTTTTACAGAATGCAAGGTGTTCTGTGAACGGAGAGGGGGGTGGTGAATGACAGGATCACACTCCTCGGTTCACAGAATGCCTTGCATTTTGTGAAAACAATACTAGCCTGCACAGGGTTGATGTCACATGACAGTGACATTGTTCCCCTGCATCGAGGGAGCAAGGCACATTCTCGTAAGCTCTGGGTATTTTGTGACAGCTGTGCCAGAGGTGGGGCTGTTGGGGGAGCACCGTGAAATTTATTATAAGTGGGTCAAGAAGTGGGCATATGTCATTGTTACAGTCAGTGTTACTGTGACTCTTTTACATTTCCATGAATAGCTACATTTGCAGAGAATGGTGTCCAGCCCAACAAAGAGGCCTCATTTCAGGGACTTTTTGTGCATTGTTGTGCCTTGACAGTCAGTTTGAGATTCATGGGCTTCCTTTGTTAAACGCACAATAATGTGCAAAATAACATGCATTAAAACACTGCCCATGTGTATGTTTGTATGGGCCTTTAGTTAACAATTGTTAGGTAAACAAGAATGCTTTCAGATTTTAAAGTCATGTTTAAAGGATGCCATTTCTCCAAACTGATATGAATGCAGTGTTTCCCAGGCATCTACTGGCACAATAATTGTAACCTGAACTAACACCTTAAGGAATGTCTAATATGGGCATTCCCCTTTAAATGTACTTTATGTAGATTTCCTCTCAATTCTTTTTGTGTTTCCAAGACAGGAAGTGAAGCGTAATCTCCTCAGGGGGACAAAGACAGAAATAAATAACCTAAGA